CAGGCACCCCAGAATGGCATTTACTTTTAAATATGTACACTTCTGGTTTAAAGAATAAAAATGTGACATGCTAAAGAATTAGGAAGAGGTAGGGGTTAGAGAAAATTTTTTCCTCCCAGGAAAAAAGAAAAAAAAAAAAAAGCAAGAAGCACAAAATGAGGAAACTTAATTAATGACCCAGTGACTACCAGCAAAACTATGTAGTCATATGACAGGACATTGAGAGCTATAATTTTAGATTTTAGCCTGATAATAAAATCTCTCTTGTGGGGAGGAAAGACATAATTCAACTGAACATAAAGACAATCTTTTCCTTTTTTTTCTTTTTTTTAAGATTTTATTTATTTGACAGAGAGAGACACAGTGAGAGAGGGTTGAACACAAGCAGGGGGAGCGGGAGAGGGAGAAGCAGGCTTCCCGCTGAGCAGGTAGCCCGATGTGAGGCTCGATCCCAGAACCAAAGGCAGACGCGCCCCTTTTCTGTGTATTCTTAAAAGCAAATAATATTGTGTATCTCTACCTTTTAGAATCCACAACCAGTAGCATTTTTTTCGTTGTTAAATTCCCTTTACTCTTAACACATGACATGATCTGATCCCTTTAAATTAACAGTTGATTGACAATTTCCAGACAGATTCTGGTAATACCCCAATGTACCAAAAGAAAGCAGAAGACTATCATAACGATTCAGCATATTTTCTTTTTTTAAAAATTTTATTTATTTATTTGAGAGAGAGCGCACGTGAAACAGGGGACGGTCAGAGGGAGAAGCAGACTTCCTGCTGAGCAGGGAGCCTGATGCAGGACTCCATCCAGGGACTCCAGGATCATGACCTGAGCCAAAGGCAGTCGCTTAACCAACTGAGCCACCCAGGCACCCCCATTCAGCATATTTTACCCACTTGACTCAAGAAAGCAACTTATACATGAATAATTCCCTACTCCTTTTCCTTTACAGGCCACAAACTGAAGTCAGAGACCACGTAATCTTGCTCATTACTGCATCCACAAGGCCTAGGGAGTAAGAGTGTCTAGTAAATAGGTGGTATTTGGTAAATATTTTATTTATAAACCTAAGCCAAATCCTATAAAGGAAACAGGTAAAACTGAAAGAGGAAGAGGTTTCAAGGCAGAGGAAATGCCTCAGAGAGCTCTTTTGTATCAAAATGAAAATTTTTAAGCTCAAAATTAATACATGGAAGTTAAAGTATACAACCTATTTACAGATGCTTAACATGGTGGACTTATTTTTCAATGTATCTAGAAGTAAAACCTTATTCTGGCATACACTGGTAGACAAGTACAAGAAAGAACTATAGGACGCCTGGGTGGCTCAGTTGGTTAAGCGACTGCCTTCGGCTCAGGTCATGATCCTGGAGTCCCGGGATCGAGTCCCGCATCGGGCTCCCTGCTCAGCAGGGCGTCTGCTCCTCCCTCTCCCGCTCCCCCCTCTTGTGCTCTTTCTCTCTCTCACTCTCTCTCTCAAATAAATAAATAAAATCTTAAAAAAAAAAAAAAAAAAGAACTATATACATCTCTAAAAGTTCTAAACAGCACAAGTACAGATCATACTCCCAACACTTCCCTTCCAGGTTCATCTCACACCAGATAACACCAGCAATTACTCATCTTTTCTAAATTAAACACTTAAACTCTCTGCATTAGCAACCTAAGACATTTGATGATTTTAGATGGGGAAAAAGTATTTTACAATTCCAGGATAAATAAGCAACTTACATGTGTCAAATGATCCCTTACGAGTTATTCAAATCACATTTAATCATTAGCAAATACTGTGTACTCATAAGATCTTCAAGCTACACGAAGATCTTACTTACCCATATACATCATGGACACAGTATGTCAATTTACTCATAAGTTAACTTTTTACCAAGACATAAAAGCTATAAAAGGAAAAAAGCCATAAAAGGAAAGTAAACAACAGGTATTAAATAAACGCACAATATTTTTATAACCTTCTGTTTACCTAGTAGTAATGAGAATAAAATGAGGGAGGGCACTTGGGTGGTGTAGTTTGTTGAGCTTCCAACACTTCGTTCCGGTTCAGGTCATGATGTCATGGTTGTGAGACTGAGCCCCACGTCAGGCTCCACACTCAGCACAAAGTCCGCTTGAGATTCTCTCTCCCTGTGCCCCGCCCCCACTGCACGCAGGATCATGTTTGTGCTTTCTCTAAAATAAATAAGCCTTTTTTAAAAAAAATGAGAGGAGGGCGCCAGGGTGGCTCAGTCAGTTAAGTGACTGCCTTCGGCTCTGGTCATGACCCCAGGGTCCTGGGATCAAGTCCCACATCGGGCTCCCTGCTCAGTGGGGAGCCTGCTTCTCCCTCTCCTCCCCACGTGCTCTCTCTCGCAGTCTCTCTCTCTCTCAAATAAATGAATAAAATCTTTGGAAAAAATTAATAAAAAAAAATAAATGAATAAATAAAAAATGAGGGGAAATTACTGAACATCTTTTGTCAACATTTAAATGCTAACACTATTAAGTGGTGCCAAATGTGGCACAAAGATTTGTTCCAGTGAGATAAAGGTTCTGGTGAACAAAGATGGCCCAATTTCGGGAAAGTTATTTTTTTAAGTAATCTCTATATCCAACGTGGGGCTTGAGCTCATGACCCTGAGATCAAGAGTCACATGCTCTTCCAACTGAGCCAGCCAGGCGCCCCAATTTCAGTGAAAATTAGATGGAAATTACACTTTATGAAGTCCACCACGTATGTGTTGCAACTTTTAATACAAATCCCAGTACAGGGGTGCCTGGGTGGGTGGGTCAATTGAGCGAGTGACACTTAACTTCAGCTCAGGTCATGATCTCAGGGTTGTGAGATAGAGCCCTGCCCCTACTCTGAGCTGAGCATGGAACCTGCTTAAGATTCTCTCTCTCCCTCTCCTGTTTGTATGCTTTCTCACTCTTAAAAACAAAAACAAAAAACAAATCCCAGTACAGTACAAATTTTTAAATCTTATATAAAGGTTCTTTTTCTTTGGGTGATGAGGAATGGAAAAGAAAATATTAAAAAGAAAACGAAACTGAAGTTTGTAGTCCTAACAATGACCCGACTATAGCCACACAATTTTTCCTTTAAGCAATACATAGGAAAATTTAATGCCTCCTTCATCTGAAAAAATAGTCACTTAAAATCACCTTTCCTCTTTTTTTTTTTTTTTAAAGATTTTATTTATTTTTTAGAGAGCGAGCGAGAGAGAAACAGCATCAGAGGGGAGAGGGTCAGAGGGAGAAGCAGGCTCCCCGCTGAGCCGGGAGCCCGATGCAGGACTCGATCCCAGGACCCTGGGATCATGACCTGAGCCGAAGGCAGATGCTTAACCATCTGAGCCACCCAGGTGTCCCTCACCTTTCCTCTTCTAATGTTAAAGTGGGTTCTTAAGAGGCTAATCCTCTTAATTATTCCCATATTCTAATGAATACCAGCTTGTAAAAGCCAATACAAAATCTTTTACTGAAAGTGTTAGGATATCACAGAACAAGAACAGAATCCATAATTAATTACTGACATTGTATCTTTAAGCTCAAACTACTGTGGTTACAGTGGCCAGTGAGACAGTGCCAGCTATCAATTGTAGGCATTATGAAGCAACTGGTAAAATAGTAGATCCAGGGTACTATTTACAATCCTATTATAAAGGTTAAACATTTCTTTTTTTTTTTTTTAAAGATTTTATTTATTTATTTGAGAGAGAGAATGAGAGAGAGAGAGAGAGAGAGAGCATGAGAGGGGGAGGGTCAGAGGGAGAAGCAGACTCCCCGCCGAGCAGGGAGCCCGATGCAGGACTCGATCCCGGGACTCCAGGATCATGACCTGAGCCGAAGGCAGTCGCTTAACCAACTGAGCCACCCAGGCGCCCATAAACATTTCTTAATTTACATAAAATCCTGTAATAAAAATTAGGACATGGATATTAGCTAAGCCAGGACAACTGTTACAAAAGGTTGCCTGCAAAAGGCAATATATTAAGTAGTCAAACGCTATAATAGCTTTTGGGTTGTTTTTGTTTTTTTTTTTTAAGTAATCTATAACTTGGGACTTGAACTCCCGACCCCAAGATCAAGAGTCACCTGCTCTACTGACTGAGCCAGCCGGGTGCCCATTATAATAGCTTTTATCATGCAGAATCTTTCATTTCTAAAAGATTAGTCTAGCTACAATAGAGTAACTGGTTTGGGACTAGCCCTCTCACCATAACCAATTAGAACACTGGACATAATATATGAAACAATTCCTGGATGTTGGACAATAGACAGCTCAGAACTACCATCCCAGACAGAAGGGAGACAAACTACCTGAAACCTGTAACTACCTAAACTTTTCGTCCCGAAGTACTTTCCACACCCTGGCCAAAAAGGGGGAATCCAAGCAGAGCAGAAATCCAACAGAAACTCAAATACAAGTTTCAGAAGGCTGAGGCAGCTGTACCCTATGGGGCATTCTTGTGTCTTTACTAAACTAAGCTGTACATGCATAGGGTGAGAGTCCAGGAAGGTGGGTAAAGAAGAACCATTGGGAGGCAGACGCCTGGGTGGCTTAGGCGGTTAAGCGTCTGCCTTTGGCTCAGGTCATGATCCCAGGGTCATGGGATCAAGCCCCGCATCAGGCTCGCTGCTCAGTGGAGAGCCTGCTTCTCCCTCTCTTCTGCCACTTCCTCTACTTGTACGCTCTCTCTTTCTGTCAAATAAATAAATAAAATCTTTAAAAAAAAAAGGAAGAACCATTGGGTAATGAGCAACTACTGGGGTACTATAAACATAACTACCACTGGAGTTTACAGACCTCTGATTCTGACCAACCGGAGTAGAGAGAGACCTTGCTGAACACTCAAGAGCATTCAGATGAGAAGGCATCAGCAGAGCTAAACTAGCCCTAGGACACTCCTCTCTTGGCCTACCTCAACAAAGCTTTAAATAAAAACAAGTCTTGGTGGTGTCGGCGGCCGCGGGAGCCGGACCGGGACACTCGCCGGGAGGGCGGCGGGCAGCGGGCGGCGGGCGGCGAGGGTCCGGAGGCCGCGGGCAGGCGGCGGCGAGCGCGAGCCGAGGGCGGCCGGCCTGCAGCGGCCGACGAACCGGGATCGCGCGGCGCCCGGAGCCATGTCGGTGAACATGGACGAGCTGCGGCACCAGGTCATGATCAACCAGTTCGTGCTGGCCGCGAGCTGCGCGGCCGACCAGGCGAAGCAGCTGCTGCAGGCGGCCACTGGCAGTTCGAGACCGCCCTGAGCACGTTTTTCCAAGAAACCAACATTCCCAACAGCCACCACCACCACCAGATGATGTGCACCCCAAGCAACACACCTGCCACACCGCCCAACTTCCCTGACGCACTGGCTATGTTCTCCAAGCTTCGTGCCTCCGAGGGCTTGCAGGGCAGCAATAGTCCCATGACGGCCGTGGCCTGCTCCCCCCATGCAAGCTTCAGCCCCTTCTGGGCCTCGTCCCCACCCAGCCACCAGGCCGCCTGGATCCCACCCTCCTCCCCCACGGCCCACAGCTTCCACCACCTCCACCACCCACAGCCCACGTGGCCCCCCGGAGCACAGCAGGGTGGTGCCCAGCACAAAGCCATGGCTGCCATGGATGGCCAGAGATGAGACTGGATGCTGCCGGGCGCTGGGCTGGAGCGGGGGGGGGGGGGGGGGGGGGGGGGGGGGGGGGGGGGGGGGGCAGTCCAGGGTCGTGGGACACAGGGGGGAGCCGGGGCAGGTGGGAGTTTCCTGAAGATGGCACTGGAAGATTTTATAAAATAATTTTTGTGGGTTGGGGGGGGGGGCAGTAAACTTCCTGAGCCTCTTGGTCCTTCAGGAGTCTCTCATCAGACAAGTTTTTTTCTCTTTCTAACTATAATATATATGAAAATATAAATATAACTAATGTATGTGAGAATGGGGCTGGCTGACCGAGGTCTTGGGGTCAGCAGAGAAGGACCAGAGCGTCCCCTTGGACCAGCACCCCTTCCCTCCACCCCTCATCCCAGGACAGGTGCTTGGAAGCCAGATGGGGTGATCCTGCAGTCATGAGGGGTCTGCTAGCTGCCTCTCGGAGGTCACGCCTTCGGGAATCGAGGACCACCGTGGATCCACTCAAGGAGTTCCACAGCAGGGGCTCCCTGAAGCGCCTGTCGGCCGAAGGTATGAAAGCCCCTTGCCATCCGAGCTCTCCCTAACCGGACTTCCGTGGCTGGCTCCTCAGGGGCCCTGCAGCTCCAGGTCTCTTCTGGTGTCACCCGCTGCCAGCCAGATGTGCGGGGCTTGTGCAGAACTAAAGAGCTGGCATGGGCCAGAGACTCAGGCTCTGCCTAGCAGGGGTCCTGATCCTCCTCGGCCACCCTGCCTCTCCCACTGTGTGTCCCACCGGACAGAGTGGAGAGCTTGCCTTGGATTTACTTCCCAGATCAATCATCTCACCAGGGTGAAATTTTCATTTAAAAACTTAAAAGAGACTTTTCTAAAAAAAAATAAAAACAAGTCAAAGAATTTGAATATAAAATAACTTTTCCTCTTTAAAAGATAGCTTTTTAAAGCAAATATAGGGACGCCTGGGAGGCTCAGTTAGTTAAGCATTTGCTTTCGGCTCAGGTCATGATCCTAGGGTCCTGGGATCAAGTCCCACATCAGGCTCCTTGCTCAGTGGGGAGCCTGCTTCTCCCTCTGCCTGCCGGTCCCCCTGCTTGTCTTCTCTGACAAATAAATAAAGATCTTAAAAAAAAAAAAATTAAAGCAAATATAACACTGAATTATGGGTTTTATAACATATCTCATAGTAAAATGACAAACAGCACAAAGACTAAGAGGGAAAATGGAGATATACTACCATAGGACTCTTACGTTATACATCAAGTAGTATATTATTATTTAAAAGTAGACCATGGTAAGTTAAAAGGGCTTACTATACACCCTACAGCAGCTATGGAAATAAATAAGTACAGTTAATATACTAATGTAGGAGATAAAGTAAATATCACAAAACAATCCAAAAAATGGCAAGAAAAGAAAAAATTAAGAATAGATGAGATTGGGGGGGGGTGCCTGGCTGGCTCTGTCAGTGGAGCATGCGACTCTTGATCTCAGGATCATGAGTTTGAGGCCCATGCTGGGTGTAGAGATTACTTTAAAAAAATATTTTTTGTAATTAAAAAAAGAAGAATAGATGAATAGCGTCAGGGAGGAACAACTTTTCCTCTGCTCTTTAGTTCAATACTGGAGGCCTGCAAATTAAACTGAAAATGATGGGAGGAGGGCAAAGTTTACTCATATATATATGAACACACAAAAGTTGTGACTTTCTAAACAGCTGAAGATGGGGCCTTATATACTTAATTTATTAGGAGAGGGAGGAGTTGAAAGGCTCCTTTAGGAAGAACAAATGGGTTTCTAGAGGAATAAACAGAAGATAAGCAAATTTGTGATAATGTCTGTTTATGCAGGGGTGAGTGGTCTTATTCATTTTTTTTTTCTTTATGGCCATGAAAATTCCTTCGGAAGGGGATTCACGGAAGACTCACTCCCAAGTTTCTGCTTTTAGACAGATAACAGAAGCTCCAAAAGGGCTTCTACATCTATTGTATATCAAATACTGTCAGTTTAAAATAATCTTAGATTCCATCTGAAATTAATGTAATACTATGTATCAACTATACCTCAATAATCTTGTAGGTCCAAGTGGATACCCGCAATTCAAAACAAATGCCAGATGGCAGACTTAAACCTAACCATATCAATATTTACATTAAATGTTAATGGATCTTTGTAAAGACACTAATTAAAAGGCAGAGATTGTCAAACCAAATTTAAAAATCAAGGCCTATAGGGTACCTGGCTGGCTCGGTTGATGGGGAGCATGGAACTCTTGATCTTGTGGTTATGAGTTTGAGTCCCACGTTGGGTATAGAGATTACTTAAAAATAAAATCTTAAAAAAAAAAGACCTAATTATATGCTAACTATAAGAAATACACTGTAAATATAAAGACATAAGCTGAATATAAAAGGAATGAAAAAGACACACCATGCAAATACTAGTCATAGAAAAGCTACAAGAACTATATTCATATCAGACAAAGAGGTCCTGGAGATAGCAAATATTACCAAGATAAAATGGGACAAGTCGTTTATGATTAAAGGGTAAATTTACTGAGAAGACCTAACAATCCTAAAATATGTATGCAACTAAAAACAGACCTTCAAGGGGCACCTGGGAGGCTCAGCCAGTTAAGTGTCTGCCTTCAGCTCAGGTCATGATCCCAGGGTCCTGGGATCAAGCCCCGCATCAGGCTCCATACTCAGTGGGAGAGTCTGCTTCTCCCTCTACCTCTGACCCTTCCCCACCAGCTCATCATGCTCACTCTCTCTTGCTTTATCTCAAGTAAATAAAATCATTTTTAAGATTTTTAAAAAGCAGGGGGAATGGCAGAGTGAGAGGGAGAAGCAGGCTCCCCGACGTGGGACTCGATCCCAGGACCCTGGGATCATGACCTGAGCCAAAGGCAGATGCTTAACCGACTCAGCTGCCCAGGTACCCCATAAATAAAATCTTAAAACAAATAAACAGACCTTCACAATATATGAGGTAAAAACTGACAGAACTGAGGGCGCCTGGGTGGCTCAGTTGGTTAAGCGACTGCCTTCGGCTCAGGTCATGATCCTGGAGTCCCGGGATCGAGTCCCGCCATCGGGCTCCCTGCTCGGCAGGGAGTCTGCTTCCCCCTCTGACCCTCACCCTTCTCCTTCTCTCTCTCTGTCATTCTCTCTCTCTCAAAAAAAAAAAAAAAAAACTGACAGAACTGAATCCCCAATTGCAGCTTGAGATTTCAGCACTCCTCTTTCAGTAATAGAACAAATCGACAAAAAATATATACATATATAAAAGATTCTAGGGGCGCCTGCTCCGCGGGAAGCCTGCTTCTGCCTCTCCCACTCCCCCCCTGCTTGTGCTCCTGCTCTCGCTATCTCTGTCAAATAAATAAATAAATCTTAAAAAAAAAAAGACTCTAATAAGGGGTGCCTGGGTGGCTCAGTCAGTTAAGCATCCAACTCTCGATTTCAGCCCAGGTCATGATCTGGGATCAAACCCTGCATCAGGCTCTGCACTCAGTGGGGAATCTGCTTGAGATTCTCTCTCCCTCTGCCCCCACCACTGGCTCTCGAGCGCTCTTGCTCTCTATCGCTCTCAAATAAATCAATCTTAAAAAAAAAAAAAGACTCTAATGATACTACCAACCAATAATTGATATCTACCTGCAAGATAAACCTTCTTTCCTAGGACACATAGAATATTCACTATGATATGCCTTCCCACAAAAAAATCTCAAAATTCAAAAGACTGAAATCTTATAGTCTGTTCTCTATTCAAATATTAAATTAGAAATCCGTAACAATATCTCAAACAACCCCAAATACTTGTTAATTGAACAATACATATCTAAATAACCCATAGCCAGAAAGAAATTGGAAAATATTTCAGACTAAATGGAAGTACACAATATGTCAATTTGTGGGATGCAGCTAAGGCATTTGAGAAAAATTTAGATAACCATATACAAAAAGATGAACCTCAACCCTTACCTCATTCATTAAACAGATTTTACCTTGAAGTGCTTCACAGACCTAAATGCAGAACATAAAACTATAAAAATTCCTGAAGAAAATTTAAGTAAATATTAGTGAGCTTAGGTTTAGAGAAGACTCCTTAAATAGCTATAAAGGGCATTAATAATAAAGGAAAAAGTAAACCGTAACTTAGACTTCATAAAAGTTTCTCAATCTTTGAAAGATACTGTTAAGGAAATGAAAAGGCAAACCACAAACTGCAAGAACATATTTATAAAACATGTGATTTGCAAAACCCTGTGATCAAGGACTCATATCCACAGTATATGAAGAATTCTTGCAACAGTAAACAAAAAACAACCTAATTTTTTTTAACGGGCAAAAGATTTGAAAGGGATACTTCAATGAAGAAAATAAATGAATGACAAGCACATAAAAAGACGATCATATGGAAATTGCAAAATAAAACCACAATAAGGTATCACTACAGACCCACCAAGAATGGCTAAAACTAATAAAAAGACTGACAATACTAAGTGTTAAGGATGCTGAGCTCCTGGTTCTTTGAAAGAATTAGTAAGACTGATAAACCCCTGGCCAGACTTATCAAAAAGAAAAGAGAAAGGACCCAAATAAATCATGAATGAAAGAGGAGTGGTCACAACCAACACCAAAGAAATACAAACAATTATAAGAACATATTATGAGCAACTCTATGCCAGCAAATTAGATAATCTGGAAGAAATGGATGCATTCCTAGAGACGTATAAACTACCAAAACTGAACCAGGAAGAAATAGAAAACCTGAACAGACCCATAACCAGTAAGGAAATTGAAGCAGTAATCAAAAATCTCCCAACAAACAAGAGCCCAGGGCCAGAGGGCTCCCCAGGGGAATTCTACCAAAAATTTAAAAAAGAATTAATACCTATTCTTCTGACACTGTTCCAAAAAACAGAAATGGAAGGAAAACTTCCAAACTCATTTTATGAGGCCAGCATTACCTTGATCCCAAAACCAAAGACCCCATCAAAAAGGAAAACTACAGACCAATATCCCTGATGAACATGGATGCAAAAGTTCTCACCAAAATACTAGCCAATAGGATCCAACAGTACATTA